GGTACTTTTTTAATTGTTTAAATGTTTTTTATAGTATGTGAGGATAATAAACTTTTGTATAATTTTACAATGTAATAGGAATAATTATTTTTCATTTTTCTTGACTCTAAACTGCAATCCTTCAGGATTCCAGCAAGAATTCACAATGAAAAAATTGATTAAGTCGGGAATTTGAGACGGAATCTAAAGACATTTGACTTTTGTCACGAATTCTTGACGGATTCCCAAAAATTTGTCTGTTTAGGGTCTTAAAATATAACAGTTTATGGGTTAACAGTCTCAAATCATATAGTAAGTGTAAAAACAAGTTTGGACGTAGTAAATACTCAATATTTTTAAAAAAAATATAACACCATATAAGGGTAATTAGACTGAATTATAAACTTCAAGGTAATACTATGTATACTTACACAAACGATTAACATAACTCGTCGATAATTTTTCTGGAAAAAAAATGAAGTATTCGTCAATGGTATAAGGTAATTGGATATTCTTGATAGTTTTTTGTTTTCATTTTTCTTGACCCTAACCACAATCCGTAGGAAATTGGAAGTAAACAATTAACTTCATTCGTGAAGAACCCGGGAAAGTGAAATTGTTTTACGACTGATTGGAAGTAACTTAAGTTAAAGAACCTGGGAAAGTGGAATTTCCGATGGATTTTTTCTTTTGAAATTTTAATACATATTTACCCAAAAAAACTAATTCAATAGTCTCTCTCTTTCTAAAAATCATACAAAACACCTCTCCCTCTCTCCATCTCTCCCAAAACGTAATCTCTCTCTCCCTAAATCATTCTGAATCATGTAAATTTCCTTTTATTAGAGATTCCTAAATTAAAACTTTGTTAGGTTGTTGGTTTAAGTAACTTGAAAGTTAATTTTAGATATTTGTTGTTTCTGTTTGATTTTGTTTGATTTAAGAGTGATATTTATTGTTGGGGAATTTGGCAAAAATGACCTAAAAAATTGATTTTAAATGAAAAAGTGTACCCCAACTTCAATGAAATGCAAAACAACATAAAAGATTAGTGAAATTACAACCAGCTCTTTATGCCAAAAAAAAAATGTGTTGACTTTTACCATTGTAACCATGTCCGTGAGAAGACTAGACTTCCCCGATAGTCGTCTCATACAGTAGATCATAAAAATAATTTAGAAATTTTATAAAAAAATATTTATATTGGGGCAAAAAAATGAAATCATATAATTATAAACATTTTTAGATGAGATAAATTTTGATTTAGTAAAATTGAATTGTTTTCATCTAGATGAGTGGAATTAGATTGAGTCATGATATTCTTTGATTTAGTGTTTAGTAACATTTGTTAGAGTATTGTAGTATTCTTAGGTTTACATTTTGGAATCTTAACTTTTTTAAAAAAATTATTGACTTATATGTATTTAACTTTTTGTATATTAAACACTTTAAAATTGATTTTAAGTTTAATGACATGTTTGTTGGTATTTAGTTAGTTATTTGAGTTTAGGTTTTAGATGATTTATTGAAAATTTTCTAACAAATAATGTAGTAGAAGACATCAAAGTAAGTCGTCTAGGCGAATAGTGAATTTAGAGTCTAGAAGAAGTCTTCTGTTAAAAGACTTACATGAAATTCTTTTGTACTGGAAAAATCTAACATAATTAGAATTTTTGTCTCTATATATAAAGAAAATTTATGCATTCTCTTTCTTTCTCTCGAATGACTACAGAAAAATATAATGTTTCTCACTCTAAAACCCTCCAATCTCTCTCTAATCTCTTTGGACTTGCTAACACCAAAACTTATATCAATTTCTCTTTCTGTCTTATGTCTTTCTCACTAATTTATCTTATTTTTGTAGGTTTTTCATTACATGATTTTCATCTTTCACTCATTTAAAGGTAGATCTATAAATTTTGGATATGCGTTTTTGTGTGTTTAAATGTTAGATTATGGAAATGTAGATCTAACATAGTGTGACTGTTTCATTTTGTTATTTAAGTATAAAAAATATTTGTACGTTTTGAATATGCAAGTTTTTTCAAATCTGAGTCAAACTTTGGAAGAGTTCTCAGAAAATTTCTTAGCAAGACTTCTAATGCATTTTATGCTTTTGAACCAAAAATATCTCACCTAAATGGAGTCCAAACTTTATCTATGTAGAGGAATGATCTTAAGATCAATGTGTAATAGTTACGTTAATGGTCTGTTAGTTGATACATGTACTCATTTAGTGGTGAATTCTTTTGTAAACTTGAACAGATGTTTATGAAAATAATTTGGTAAATATATTCATGCTACAAAATTCTTTTGTCAAACGTTTAATTATTGAATTTATTGATACAAGATAGTAAGAAACATTCTAACCACTCACAACAAAACATAACAACACAAAAAATTCGTCAGATTTACTCAAATTAGAGGAGAAAACTTCTCAAAAAAACTTAGTGAAATTCACAAAAGATAAAACAATACATAAGTCTCACTAGAAGACATTTCGGATGACTTCACTAGAAATTTTCTTGGAAGACTTCCTTTAATATTATCAATAACAAAAGACTTTTTAAGAATTTTTTAAAAATACTATTGAGAAAACAGGTTAAGTCTTCTCTCAGAAAATTTCTCGAAGACTTCTCCAGAAAAAACATATCTTGAAGTTACTTAATATTCTCGGAAATATTAACTAAAAACATTAATAAGCATGAAGGTTTGTAACTTCATAATTACCACTAATTCAGTTATGGATTTCATTCAGAATCCCCAAATATTGACTAATATACATGAATTAAGAAAACAAATATTGAAAATCTCTTTTAATATTAGAGAAAATGAAATTTTATTGAACATTAACAGAGAGACTTCCAAGAAGTCTTCCATTTATGTCAATTTTCAATTGCAAATTTATTAAGAAAGACATCTAAAAAAGTCTACTCTACAGCAGACTTCTTAGGAAATCTTCCATTGATCTTCCTTTGTTGATATTAGTTTACTTTTATATTTCAGTTTTTTTTTGAAAATACCAAAGAAACTTTGCAAAACTTCTAGAAAAGTTTTCTAAAATAATACATAGAAAGTCCATTTCAAAACTAGCATATGGATTGGCCCGAAGACTTCCGTAGAAAAAAAATGTGAAAAAGATGTGAAGTTTTGACCAAGAATCATGAAACAGATGTGAAGAAAAATCAATGATGTGAAACAGATGTGAGAAAAAATCTGTGAAAAAAAAATGAAAGAATCAATGATCATTCTTATATCCGGTAAGGTTCATGTTTAGTTTCTCCAAGTACATATAAATTTTTAGTGAAAGTTACCCACTCATTTTTTAGCAAGAATCATAAACTTGAGTAACTCTAATAAGCTTATAAATTTTTAAATAAAAAAAATTAGAATTTTGGGATTAAATAAGAGAGGAACTGAAAGAGAAATAGTTTTTGTGTGTAACATAAATATGAATATAAAGATGTAGATATTGATTTAAAATCTTAAAAATGGTTGTTCATGGTGGTTGGATATTGATGACAATGTTGTAAATAAAAAAGGAAGATGAGAATGATAGAGTAAAAAAAATATTTTCTAAAATAAAAATAAATAATAATAATATTTTCGTAAGTAATTTAAACTTCTGAGGTGAATAGGGTAATTGAAAGTTCCAAAAAAACATGGGTTAGATTTACATTTGAATTTTTTTTTGAGTCACTTTAGCAAAAAAATAAAATGTTAGTGCTAAGATTTATTACTTTTATAATTTTTATTGTTTATCAAATTAAAATTTTTTTCTATATAACAAGTTTTGTAGTTATGGTATTTAAAATATTTTGAAACGTTTTAATTACTTTTCCAAACGTTTTACTCTATATAAATGTTTACTTTATAAAAATAACATTATAAAAGATGTTTATATATATAGGAACGTTTTAAAATCTTTTATGATATTTTACAAGTTATTAGTAGTATATTAAACATTCTTCCTTTTTTACTTATATTTTTTATATTTTACATTCTTTATTGCTAAGTGTTAACAGTTAGCAATAGTATATTAAAAACATTTTTAAATTCTTTAATTTGTTTTAAAAGGTTTTTAATTATTAAAATATATTTTAATATTTAAATGTTTTAAAAATATATTTTGTTTTTATTTCTTACTAAAAATATTTTTTTCAAATTTAATATTAATTTTTTTATAATATGTTAGTTAAGAATTTGTTAATTTAGGATTTATTTGTTTAATTTGTTAGATTAAGAATATAGATTATAATAATTATTAAAAAGCTTATTAACTTATTTTCTAAATTATTTTTGGTCCATTATGTTAACAATATTATTATTTAATTAATTTTAAAATTAAAAGAAAAATATTTGGTTAATTTTCGGAAACTTTTTCTTATGAACAATTACTGCTAAGAATATTTCTTTTGGGTATATTCCTTAGGGAATTCGTGGGAAATATTTCTAATGGATTAATCCATCAGAAATTTGGCAGAAAATATTTTTTACGAATTCTCGACGAACAATTACCACGGTAATTGTTGCTTGGAATCTGTCGAGAATTTTTAATGAATTTCTGATAAATTTTTTCGACGTCCTAGTCTTGCAAGTTTTCTCGGTCGAGAATCTACAGTTTTCTTGTAGTAGTGTCCGGATTAGTTGACATTTTTTATATTATCCTGCTGAACCATATGTCGAACATATATTAGCTATTAATTAACCAACGATACGTACATTGGTGCATGTAAAGTAAATTCCTAATGGCCCCTGAAATATAGATTCTCATTCCTTTTATTTGTAGATCAGCTGAATTACCCAAAAATTATCGTAATTAGTGTCTATTGTGTATGCGTGCATGAGTTTTATAATCCAAAAATATGAGTCGGATTTTGCTTTCATGATATTGTGGATCCCATCGTGTTCTCTCCACTGACCCAACCTACTCAGTCCTTAACATGTTCTCATATTTTGTGTCTCTCACTATCTATAAATAGAAATATCTCACTACAACAAGTCATCATACTCTCTCAAGTCTCAACTTCAACTCATTTTGCAATCTCTCTCCTTCTCTTTCTCTTTCTCTTTCACAATCTCTTACAAACCCCACAAGCTACCTTTCTTCTCCTTAATCACCTGTTATGGCGAATTTAATTCTTAAGCGAACTCTTATCATTCTCCTAATCATATTTTCATCAATAATCTCTGAGGCTCGGATCCTTCAGGCAGATCACGTCGCAAACATGGGAAATATAGATAGTGAGGTTCTCCTACGTGAGCTCGGGTTTGATCTCTCCAAGTTCAAAAGTTATAACGAAAGGAGATTTTTAGTGGATTCGGAAAGGGTTTCACCGGGAGGACCTGACCCGCAACATCATTGAATGGTAGTTTCGGATATAAAATTTTACCGGAGATCCAAGCACAAAGAAATCATAATTTTGATTAATCCATGCAAGTCATTGAATATTGCTATTTATATGATTTTCTTTTCTCTTTTCACCTTCATAAAATCTTACTTACAATTTTGTTGTATCAGGGTTTTGGTATTCTTGTACCTCCTTACAAAGTTACAATACATTGACCTTTTCTTATGTATGTTTTCATGTGTCTAAAATGAGTTACATTTTATGTAACTGCAATTGGCTTACAAATAATGTTCCCCTGTCTTTTTCGCCTGAGTTATACTTTTTCAATTAGAGGGAAAAAACGAAAGGTAGATGAGTTTTAGGATAAAATGACTAAAATTAGCACTTCGAAATGCATATGATCAACAAAATTACTTTTAGTGATTTGATGGCAAAAAAATATTACTTTAGTATTTCTAGAAAAATTAATAAAACTAAACGAAGCTGTGTAATCGAACATTTTGTAAGAGTAACGTTATTGATAAAGCATCTCATTATAGTATCTAGATGTAATAATAATAGTATTTAATAAAAAATAGTTAACTAAATAAAATTAAATACATTGTAAATATTTTAACCATTTTTGTATACACATTAAAGAAAACTTTTCATGGATGTCTTAGGATATCATTTGAGATACTCTACTTTCCCTCTTTCCTATTTTTTATTTTCTATTTTTTTCTTTAGAAATCTTGCAATGGAAGTGCTCTAAGCTTTTCTTTTCTTTTAAACTGAAAATTTGTAACCAAAAGACCAAGTGCTCTAAGCTTACTCAAATGATATGTGATATTAATGATTGAAGATCTGGAAAATCATATATATCATATTCATTGATCTATGTCGCTTTATACGAGAAATATAAGAGCATGTAACTTGTAACCAACTATTTGTATTACACTATTTTAATCCTACTATCTAATGTCGAGCTTTGATTTTACTTAATAGATACATTCATTAGCTAATGTGAAATTTATTTGTGAATCCATATCTTAAGGTTCTGAAAATGAATATTCCCTTAAGAAGTGTTGTCGTCAACTACATAATTTTTTTTGGTCTAAATGTTAAGCTACATTATTTAATTTGTACAAGGTATAAGAACATCTCCAATGGTATTATTCGTTGGAGTCCTTAAAAAACTATTTTTTTTTTAATTTTTTAATTTTTATTTTTTGGATTTAAAAAGAAAAAAATAAAAAATAAAATATCAATCAATTGAAAACTGCCACATGTCGTAGGGATCCGCAAATAGTGCAAAAATTCGCTAAGAAACAGTCTTTATTTAAAGATTTTAAGAATCGAATCATTAATTTTTTGTGGGATCTACTAATTATATAATTATTTTTTCCCTAAAGATTCCCCCCAAAAGACTCCCGTTGGAGGGGCTCTATAATTGGTAATAAACAAGACTATGACATTACTAGAACAGTTTGGTGCACTCTTACAAAAAAAGAGTTTCGCCACCAACATCAACTACAACGTTGGAAATTTTCAGTGGCTCAAATAATTGTACAAATTTGAACTTAATAAATTAACATATTCTCTAATTGCAAATAGATTGATTATTCTCGATATGCGTATATATGTATTGTGTTGACTTCATTTAAACGTACTTATTTGCCAAGAAAGATATTCTCGACTTGACATTCTCGTATCAGTCGGAGAACTTCCTTTCACCCCTTGAACCTTGAAACCATAGAGTATTAATGCTTCGTGACCTATATGACGACAAGAAATGCTCATTTTTTTCTATCACTAAACGACAACAACGATACACACTAAACGAATGAGTATAGTTGTTGTTGGTTGATATAGTAAAACGATACTCACTAAAACAAGCTTGTTTATTGTTAGAATCAATTGTTCTACTCAGGCCGTGTTGCACAACATTGTGTTTGTGGAGACTATTAAGCTAGATGGGTTTCAATCTAAAACTAATTGGTAATAAATGGTGGTCCTACAATTTGCGGGTTATAAATACGAATCTATGGAATTATAATTTATCCATTCACACAATCAGAAAAAAAAACTGCTTGTCAAGTTTTTGCTCTCTAAATCTTTTGTTTCTTCAAATTTGGTTTGCTTTTGTTGCTTGTGCTTGACTATACTCGTGGAGGTCGCATTAGGCTTGATCAAGCTCCAACTTATGCTATGGACTATGGAGGGTTCACATCCACGATACCTTGTTGATCTTCTTCCTCTTTTTCCATGTACATAAATAATCTGCTTCTCTCTCTATGTCATTGTATCAGCTTTAGCCTTTATGTAACAGAGAAATTAAAGAAACTGAGATTTGGTGCTTCAGACGTTCTTGTTCTTCTTTGAGAATACGTAACATTTTCTTGTTCTTTACCGCTTCAAAAGGATTTTGTAAACATTAATTAAACATGTATTATAGATATATTCATGGTAATTCGCATTCGTCTTTTTCTTCTTCTTGATCACTCTTTCCCATATCCCCATTAAGAATCCATGTCCCGTCATCCGCTTGAACCATCCCTCTGTTCTCAAGAACCAACCAATGCCCAGGCACTAAGTACTCATCTTGAAGAGCATCTAAATCCTTATTGACCAGCGCGATATCCCGGTTAATCTCCAGCTTGAACTCCGCTTGGTTGTGTTGTGTCCCTGCCACACCATGCAAGTAAGCCTCCAGGTTATGAAAATGCCCAAGGTTTAGAGACCGTTTCAAGTACTCTGATTTCAACGTGTTGATCTCAAGCTGCTCCCCTACATCTCTGAACCTGAACACCGGGTAATGCGGAATGAGATCGGGGACATTTGTTATTCTCAAGATGTTGAGTTTTTGTAGCGACTCGACCAGTCTTCTGAAGTTAAGGTCACCTATGCGGGGACTGCCGAAAGCAAAAACCGTGACACAAGAAAGCGTGTCTTCAAGACATGTTGTGGTCTTACGCCATTCGTTATGGAGAAAGTCTGTGGCTGATAAAATCGATAGAACTCCGCCCAAGCTATGGCCTGTAAAGGTGATGCTAACTTCTTCATGTTTGTACAGTTCTAGTAACCTTTTGAGCTCTCCTTGAACCTGAAAATCAAAACAGAATCAAACCAATGGGAGGAGAAGTAATATTTTGAGAGACCAACCTGTCACAACCAACTCAAAGATTTTTAGCAATTTTTGTTTTAAGATTTTTAGTACCAGATTCGTTTCTGAAAAAAAAATGTTTAAATGTCTACAAAATTATTTGTATATAATACTTTTGATACTAAAATTAGTTATAAAATATATTAAATTCGAAATATAAATAATTAATTCTAAATTTTGTACAAAATTACTTTTTATAAAAAAATATTTTTAAATTGGACTCCTAATATCATAGGTTCTGGAATGGTCACAACAATTCAAAAGGCTGAATGTGAAGTTAGTAAGGTAAAAAGTTTGTTTTAGAGACCTGTTCTTGTGCACTGGTCTTGTCAAAACGTGATCGTGAATCAGAGGTTGTGTAAAGAGACAGCCAACCATTTGCAATACGAGGGGGGTCACTTGGGTCATTCGGGTCAGTTGGTGGGAAAACCGAGGTAGCTAATTCAAGTGGGAAATCAAAATCGTTAGCCCACTCATACAACTGAATAGTCCCTCGCCATGCTACAACAATGTCTCTTCTCCCTAACAACTCTTTTCCTTCGTCAGTGGCCACCGCAATGTAACCTAACCAGTTAGTCTCTTTGTTCCATGCTTCCCTTGACAATGACTTGATTAAGAAACATTCCGGTAACCTTATTGACGATGTTCCATATATGTACTTAGTCACCTCATACCTGGATGATAGCATGTCCTCACATGTTTTATATGGGGTTGTGGATAAAAACCTTAACCAAAATTTCTCAAACCGAAACCGTATCATATAAGCAGAGCCGGCTTAACAAGAATGGCGTAGAGTGCGACCGTCATGGGATCCACTCCAAATCTAATAATATTAGGGATCTTGATTCTTTTCATTAGCATGTTTGGTACAGGTTTAGACAATATTAGAGACATGATACTAAGTTAAAAGATCAATAGAAATGCGTTTTCTGATGCTGGAGTCGAAAAGCTATAAAACATGATAACTTAAAAACTAACTATAGGGCCCTGAAACTTTTTTGTCCAAGGGCAGAACTGGGAATATTGAGCCGATCCTGCGCATAAGTAGATATGTTGGTTACCTGAAAGGGTTGGCTTTGAGGTAGCCGGTACGAGCAAAGAGATCTTCCTTAGTGTAGCAGCTATCTCCTACATATTTGGACCGGCGGTCACTATTAAAGGTAACGTATCCGACTTCAGCCATGTCTCCGTAGTGGAGGATGTAACGGCGTAGATCCAAGTCAAGAGGATCAAGTAGGTCTTTCCATTTGCTATTGCCGCTCAGTTCCTTCCATCTCTTAGCAATATCTCCCACCATTTTCTCTTTAATTTTGATCCAAACTCCAAACGTCCCCCTCTTCCTTTTTGTGGCCTCGTAAAATTTGTTGGAGTTTTCAAAATGTTTGGATAGTTTATGCGTGAAGTATTGGTCCTTAATACATGCTCTTCACATAAGTTTTGCCGGCTCTTATTATGTTACAGATTTTAAAGTATGCAATAAATTAATAAATATAAAAGGGATGGAGAAATGAAGCCCAAATGTAATTAGTACAAATATAATTACATTTGAAGATAAATCTGAATCACAATCACAAGAATTTCACAAATTATTTATTGAATTGTATAAATATCAATATGTAGAACGAGAGCTATGAAGTAAGAGATGCGTAGAGAAGTAGGTTCCAAGTGTCAGGGAGACCAGGGAGACACCAATGGCTACAGTCAAGACCCTTTGCTATACCATTGTAAAGACTTGGGTGTGCGTCTTTGCGATACTCCGAGAGAGTTGTGAGATCAAGAAGATGGACCGGTTTCTTGATTCGACTCAACACTTTGTTCACCACAACCCAACCTAAGGGTAATCCTCCTGGATATCTTTGTCCCATGAACGGCTGAGTTTGGCCCTTGCACGACTTCAATGGCTCGTTCCACTGTCGTCCGCTGTTTTGAAACACAGTTAATGTAATGTATGTTTTAAAAATGCAAAATATTATATAGTTTTGAGTCTCATCTTATTATCTTAATATTAGGAGGGAGAGAGAAAATAAAACTTACTCGTAGTGAACAGGAGAAACACCTTGAAAGAAGACTTGAGTGCGTGAAGGGTTAATGTTAGCGTTAATCCAACGAGCCCATGTGTTTAGTCCTTTGTAATAAGCCACAAGCCTGTTCATGTCTTTGTACAAGGTATTTCCTTCCCTCATATAATCCCACCTACCAATCATTATTGAACATTTAACTAATATTAAGCATTTATATAATACACTTGAAAAAAATTATTGTCAAAAGAGAAGTTTTATAGGGTTAAGTAATGTGATCGTACGGTTGGATACCGTCGGTGTGAGTCCACCAGTGCCATGAGTTGAAGATCAGAACGTCCATGCCAAGCCAAGCATTGGCTTGTTTGATGGAGTCTAGTACAAGAACTCGTCCTGCCTTTTCTTGAACCACATCTACTAGAAACTGTGTTCTGTACAGAAGTATTGTCACTCCATAATCCTGCCCATTTTTATTTAATTAGTTTTTTGAACAGTTATTTAATTAGTGCGACATTACAAATTGTTAGTATTTGTAGCACCAAATGAAACTAGTTGGTTTATGTTAAAAAAGATAAGGAAATTCTTGAACATTTAATTTTCACTACTTGGTAGAATTGAACATTAGATATACATATATTAGCTTAACTTTTTATATACCATCATTTAAATAAGGTTTATTTAAATTAGGTAGTGAAAAAATCCATACTATTATGTGTTTTTTTTCCTTGCAAGAGCAAGAGCATGTCAAACCCGAATATATTCAAATATTTAGAAAAACTTGGTATATGTTTTTACCCCCGAAAATTGGTATGTGTCTTAACAATGATACTGAAAAGGACGAAATACAACCAGCAAATTATGTAAATATCAATTACTTTTAAACATGTATTTTCTTATATTTTCTTCAGTAAAGTCAAAAGAGGGAAAGACACGTAAACCTAATGAAGAAGCTAGAGATCGAAGTCAGTCCCAACGGAGACAGACTTGTCACTGTGTAGTCGTGCTGATGTACGTAAGTATATATATTAATATATGGACAGATCCCCAAAAACAATTAATAGTGCGTAAAAGTAATTAATTAAATTCGTGAAGGCCCACTTACTAATTTATTATACACTGTGATTAGAAAACGACAATGAAGAAAGAAGACGTTGACCTAAGAGCGAAAAAGTAAAAAAAAAAAAAATTTTATTTTTTTTCGATGCTCTAAGTGGTTATCAAAATCATTTTGTACATGGTGTCTTAATGAAACAATCTGTCGTTTGTGTTTGGTTCCACATCTATTAGAAGTTTCTTTACAGATTGATTAATAACTACGTACGACTTATGTCAGAATGGTCCATATTTTAATTAATTCTCGTAACCTAATTGTCTTGGCCACAAATATATTATCCTTACAATTTGTAATAATAATGATACTATATAGGATTATCTTAAGCAACCAGTTGTTTAAAAAATAGAAGATACTCAATTAAGAAGATGTATTATAGATGGTGACATTGGAGGAACTCTTTTTCAACATCAATCTAAAATATTTCTGAGTCATATCTCATATATATAAATATATTCATCATTTAGTCTCTCTGTTTCCAACTTTCTAGTATTATACGACAAGTGTTTTATCTATCCAATCCCAAACTTAAAGGAAATTAACAATTTGATCAAAAAAAGGGAAATTAATAAAGTTACGTAACTGATCGTTGTTTGACACAGCATTGCATATCATGCACTACTTGTTCTCTTTTTCATGTTCTATATTTTTCTGATGTAAAATTAAATCCTCAAAACCAAAAGAGAAAGCCGATTAAAAAAAACTGAAGGTGGAGACAATTATTTTTTTCAGGTTTCATATTGGAGTTTAATCACCAGAATCATTTGTTGAGAGTTAATTGATTTGAGTCGATAATTTTATTTTTAGAATTTTAACTATGTCATTGTTGTCATATTAATTCACGTCGAGATGTTTTTTTATTTTAATTTCTGACTAGGTGGAGGGTAAAACACCCGAAAATATAGCAGGACATTTGGCGACGACTGTTATATCAACAACTCTTTTCCTACAAATTAATAATTTAAGTAGGGTTCTACTTTATAGTGGCGTTAGGTGTTCAACTTGATAAAGCTAAGGATCTTTTGTAAAATCAAAGGAAGAATGACCAAAAATATCAAAGAATCATAAGTAGCTCAATGAAACGTTTACTTTAAAGTGAAGTTATTGAGATGTGAATAGGAAACATAAGAGAATCAATAGGCAAATAAAATTAGATGATACGAAAATGAATAAAAATCAAAACCTGGAAAGTGAGGGAAGTGAGTGGCTGGCCTCGACGGAGAGAGTACTTAGCATTAGGAAGAGAGGCATGAAGCAAACATGCCAACGATTCGAACATGTTGAGACTCAATGAGTCGCCAACCATCATTATCTTCTTCCCTCTCATTCTCCTCATAAAGTTCACCCCATCGAATCTGTAAATTTATTTCATTCCTACTGTCTTTGTTAATTTCTCACATAAAGAAAAAGTGTCTCATATACTTTGAATACATTTTGTTTAGGGAAATACAAGATATTAAAGTTTTTCCGTAAAATCAATTTCCCCTATACTATTTAGCTATTACTAGTTTCATATAAACTGCAAAACCAATTCCATATGGATTCTTTCGATATCAAAAAGATAATAAACTTTTTTGGAACAAGATACAGACTTATCTACATGTAATATACATAATACATGTGTATATTTTTGCTTTATAAATGAACATACACTCTTTACTATCTTAAACAAAACTCATTTGTCAACTGTGAACGTAAACACCAACAAACGTTTGTCTTTACATATTGGAAATTGTTTATAGAAAAAAAAAAGAACAAAAAAACATATTAAACGCAAACACAAAAACTAGTGTCTGAAACACATGTGCAAGTATTTTACCTGGGAAGAGAACATGAGAAAGGTTGCCATCGGAAGTGTTGATAGTTAGTGTCGGGTCGACCAGTTTTCTGGCAATTGAATTCAGGGTTGATGAAGGGGCAAGAAAAGGGACTATATAGTGGATATGAAGAATCATAGACCCATTTGCCTCTAAACCAATTGCATGATCTCTCTCCTCCCAACAAGCTTGTGCTATTTTGTCCCAAAAAATGTTGTTGAGACTGTGCTAATAGCTCAGGGAGCGAAGACAGAAGTATGAGAAACAGAGAGGCTAAGATGGGTTGGAAACAGAGTCCCATTTTCTTTTGCGGTCGCCAAGAAAGACTGATGAACTTATTCTTCAAGCCTCAAGGTTTTTATAGATAAAATAAAGTATTTATCTCTACAGTGAAATTTTTAGTTTCATTTTTGTGTACATATATTTATTTCAGTCGGAGACAATCATTAAGCTTAAGGTATACTTTAAGACCTAATAAAGGTCGCTTGAAATTAAATCCAACCAATATAGAAACTGAACCAGACTTTTTGTCAAGCCAGTAAGGTCAATATATGACAAACAGAATTAAACCAAATCGCATTTCTCTCAGACGATAGTTTTGACATTAATTAAATTATAGTGGAAATTAATTAAATAAGATAATATTAAACACTAACTCCTGAAAGTACTATATATTTAGCAAGTATAAAATAGTCAAAATAATAAGAACACCACTATTTCTAAGAAACACGTAAATGTTTTTATTATTAAAGTCATATTAATATAATGAAATTATCAAATTAATTTTTATGTTATATCAAATATCTAAACCGTTAGTACAATAAAAATTACTCAAAAAAAATTCATAACTCTTTTAGAGTTTTTTGTAGTTTTAAATACTCATCTCATATATTTATTTCGTACATTATTATTTTAAAAATAATGAGAAATTTATTGAGAAAGGTCAATGCAGATGCTCTTAGCCTCACCAGACTCACTACAGCGTACCATATCGGTTGTTAGAAAACAAATTTAGTTTTACAAAAGAAAAAAAAGATTAGCCCCGTTAGTTTAATATTGACTATTGAGGGATTCTTTTCTTTTCTTTTTTGGCAACGAGGGATTCGTTATTTCACATCAATCATGTTTCTCATATATTCTTAAACGTTTTATAGTCTTTTTAACGGTATATATTTAATTTAATCTGCGCAGCCATTGGTGAACATGCATGTTGTTGAGAGTGAAAAGACAAGGATGATGTATATATATTGTTGCAATTTGCACATGTTATGATGGGTTTTTAGGGTACCTTGCTTTTCCAACTCGACCACCACTTACTCTCAAAAACTTAAATCAAATTTTCATTTTTATTCTTAATAACAAAGCTTAACCTTCACCTAACCAATGATGCTTTTATCTAGTGACTCTGATTTAGGTAATTCATTGAATCTAACTTTTTCGAATTTTTGACTAACTATACAAACTAATGTAGAAATAAAGAAACAAACATGGCTATTTTTGTAAGCATCATTTCCATAACGACTAACCTAAACTAATTTAAATTGTTAATGATTATACCTTCATTAGCAAGCTGTGATTAACACAAGAAACCCCAAAAAAGCAATTATTCATTCATCAACAAATTCAATAATTACTTCAACCACCAAGTTATTAGTTATCACAAAAAAATTAAAAATATTGCTTTTGTTTCTTGCCAACCTATAAAACAAGAAGGGAAACCAAAATAATTAAACAAATAATAAATTTGGACAATAAGTCTAGGCTGACGATACTTTTAGGAGCTTGCCGGATTCTGAACTCTTACAAAATAATTTGAGAAAGTGACTATAGTTTCCTGTTTGAGGAGATATACGGCTGGGATTGTCCCAAACATTTTGGATTACAAATATTTTTAAAACTCAAAATGAAAATTTAGGAAATGAAGTGGAGTGGTCCTTCCTATGGAACAAATTGGAAATGTAAAATAGACCAAACAAGAAAACAATTATTACAATACCACCATGGGAAAGACTTTCTCCCGCAAACATTTGTACTTGAAATCATACAAAGGAAGTTGAAAACATCTCATAAAGATAAGAGCCTTACTGATTATGTAACAAGAGGAAGCGTTTAAGCTGCTTCTAAGATTTTGCTTATACATTATTTATTTACAAAGAAAGCTTCTCCCACAAACATTTGTACTTGAAATCATACACAGAAAGTTGAAAGAAACAATCTTATAAAGGTGACTTTTATGCATTATGTAACCAGGGGAAGCTTTTAAGCTGCCTCGTATGTTTTGCTTATGTACGTTCTTTATTCACAAAGAGAGTACTTAATTACTTGTACTATATGTGTAACCATAATTTTTTTTTACAGAAGCTCCCATTCAGATTCTTCTGATGATAGGTTTTCCTCAATCTGTTTCGGATTGTCACCACATTCTCTACCATTTACGACATCTTCAGCGTACCATTGTAGCGCAAGATGTTTGTATGCTTTTTCTCTGTTTTGCTTCATTCTTGATGATATACCGTCTCGGATATTCTGTCGAATCAGTTTTTATTGTAAGGTGTTGTTACTTTGATAAATGGAAACATGAAACAAAGAAAAGAGAAAGAAAGAAAGAGACAAAGAACCTGGTAAGGTTTGTGTTTGTCATTCTCCTTCCTGTCAGGAAAAACACAATGCAATTCGTCTCTATCCACAATGATACAGCTTTCTTCAACTGATTTTCCACTAAGTTGTTGAAGAATCTCTTTCTGTTCTTGGACAGAACTAGCACTAGTTTGCATCAAAGCCTCCTCGGTTTCCTTTCTGCAATCTGAATATAAGCAAGCAGCAGATGAGAATACACAGTCCAAAAGAAAATAAATGAAATGAAAAGTACAAAGCAGGAGGTTTACCATCAAATCCTGCAGGCAATCTTATGGCAACAGATGGTTGAATATCTGAAACTTGACTCATAACAGAACTAGCCACCGCAAGACCGTGTTCATTTTCGGTTCTAATCCCTGAATCTTGACTTCTAGCAGAATTAATAAGACCGTGTTCATTTTCGGTTTTATCATCTTTCTGACACTCTTCTTTAGAGTTGAGTCTTGCTAATTCACATGGAGGAGATTCACTGGACTGTGCAGCTCCAACATCATTTTGGAGACGAGTATGATGAACCATTGATAGACTAGTCGAGTCTTTCTGTACACAAGGCCTGGTGACTTGAACAATCTCCTCCTTTTTACAGATTTTTTTGCGAGCTAGTTGTGTTCTTCTACAGGTACCTCCATAACTATACTGCCTTGGAGAAGTACATGTAACGTAATCATCTGCATCAAAATTCAGTTCACATCCATTCTTTTTCCCCTCAGTTACCTCTTGGTCTTGCTTCACATCTCTGGTTTTTCCGGTGAAGCGGTGAAGCTTTCTCTTTTCGCCTTGAAGGAACAAAGAGGAGCGTATTTGTGAGGGGTAAAACTCACTTTCTAATTTAGGTTAGGTAAAAGGTTTGGGGAGAAGACAATCGTGGGCTGAATCCCTTAAGAACTTAGAGAATGAATACGTTGTTTATATTGATTTTTGGTAACAAAAGAGTTTACAAAGATGATTCTTGATCTGAATAAAGAGAACAATGGAAAATGACTAAGAACAAAGTGTATTAGNTGTGAGGGGTAAAACTCACTTTCTAATTTAGGTTAGGTAAAAGGTTTGGGGAGAAGACAATCGTGGGCTGAATCCCTTAAGAACTTAGAGAATGAATACGTTGTTTATATTGATTTTTGGTAACAAAAGAGTTTACAAAGATGATTCTTGATCTGAATAAAGAGAACAATGGAAAATGACTAAGAACAAAGTGTATTAGAGTCTCTCTCTTGAATGAGTCGAATCCCCCCTCTCTGATCTCTTCTCTTCCTTATATAGCACTAGGTCACGTCCAACTTCTTCCGGCGAAGCCTCCGTGATTATCTCCGTGAGTTGCGGGATTTGTAACAGCTTCCCCTTGACTAAGTCTTGCACGTTTCTATCTCCGTTACCTAGGCTGTTTTGTCAGGTCCTTACGAAAGAATCCAGACCTGTTCTCCGTGACCTCTTTCTTGTGACCTCTTTCTCGAGATCAGCTCCCTTCCTTAGGTGAGCTGTATTCTTCTTTGCGATATTAACCCATGTCCGGCCCATTATTGGGCTTGGTTTAACTAATTCGCTAACTTCAGCTGACGGGCTATATTTGGGCCCAACAGT